GCATGCAAATGTGTAAGGGTTAGTGTGATGTTAATGACTAAGATAATGGCAAACATGTGTGTGGTTTGACCGACATCGAAAGGTTTTTGCATGGTTTGTAAACAATTTCTCTTGTGTCCCAACCACAATCTCTTCTTTCTCAGGTCTTTCAACTAGCAGTCTAATGATATTTAATTAATATTAATCATTATTTACACAATTCAACAACTTCCTCTCAAAGGTGTAGGGTAGTTTTCTATTGATTCCTTATTTGGAATCATTGAACATTGTACTCGCAGATATATTTTTCGTTTTTCAGGACGTCATGATGATCAATTTAATCCCTAATTAATTTTAATTATCGGTACTGTTATTGATTAATAGTATTTAAATTAATTTGGACGTTATTTGGCTTGTTGTGGCTTCTATTTGATGAGTGAAGCAGGTCTAGCCCACCTCTTCATACATCCAACTTGGCAATTCTGATTGGGCAATTTGGCATTAGGTGACTCCAATTATAATCAGCTTGACGATATCTTTTGAGGAATACTTTTCTCTCCACAATACATTACTCTTGTTGACTAATTCGGTATCCAATTTGGCAATCCTCATAAAATTATTAATTTGGTGTGGCAAAAGAATTTATTCATTTTTTTTTACTTGTTTGTATATTTTCCTTCCTTTTTACTCTTAAGTCTCGCTTTTTTCGCTTCCGACAGTATCATGTCTCGATGATTGTGTGTGTGTGTGTGCGTGCGTGCCTTCATTAGTTTTTTTTTTACTTTTGGGTCAGCGAACACGTACTACTTCTTTTATCAATACCTTTCCATCTAAAATCTGTACGTTTCAAACCTTACTCTAGGTTTTGTTCGCTTTCCCGATTCTATAATCAGTTACTTTTATTTTGTTTTTATCTATTTTTTCATCGTCCATTGCTGATTATGGATTCGAAATAAACTTATACTTTATACTAATGTCACTTAATTGACTAGTACTATGACTAGCCGAGGCAAGTAGCGAAGTTAAATGATGTGCTCGTCAGTCTAAATTATTATCTGGCTTCCTATCTTTTCGGTCGGGAATATATGCCAACAGTATAGACATCATAGAAAACTAAAAATCTAATGCGGATTCTATTAGCCTGGGATGGCTATGTCTGGCAACGGGAGGCGGACAACTCGACTACACGGACAACTCGACTACCTAGAGGCCTGGTGAGTTGTCCGTCTTTTGACATTTTCTACGGTGGTGTTTTAGGTCTATAGAAATGCGTTTTTGATATTTTTAGTGCTCAAGTGTTGAGAAAAACACATAAATATGCTCTAGAAAGCATTTTTATTTGTATAAGTGGCTTATTTTGATCATGTTGTACGAATACAAATACAGTCTACAGACGAAATTGGAGTAACGTTAGCGAAGTTAGACTGTTGACTTATAGGACTGTGTTCGTTTAATTTTTTGAACTTTATTGGTATTAAATGTTTTGAATGAGCACCTTTAAATATATTAAAACCTTTATACTTCACAGTAACACTTAAATATTTATGAATGAGCTCAGTAGTCTATGGTTGCAGTAGTCTGCAGTCGCCCGACAGGCCGTCAACTCACCAGTCGAGCAAACGCTCTGCGACGTGACGTCATCGATGCTCGAGGTGAAGACAACTTGACTACCGAGCAACGAGAGGCAGACAACTCACTAGTCGAGCAATCGCTCTGCGATATCGATGCTCGAGGAGAAGACCTTGCTTTGCAAAACAAGAGATGCTAACTCAAGAGTTGCATAGCATTTACTTAGTGCCGACTGATATTAGTTGTAAGCCAACTCACCACGGCAAGGTTTCAGTCATAGAGTTGGAATTTCTTTTTGCAGAATAAAACCAGGAACAGATAGGCACTGTCGCTGCGCCTGGCAAAGAAACTGGGCCGAAGAATGGATAGAAGATGTTTACTTTTTGTCACGATTAATGAATTTAATATGATGTTTGAATACTAAACGTTATGGGGGAATTTAATGGATGGAAGGTTTTGTTTTCCTTTTCGTTACGAATAATGAATTTTATTTGAATACTAAACGTTATGGGAAATTTGCTGCGTTACATACTTACTCTTTGCAATACTGCGGCCCGTAGATCCTTGAACACTTTCGAAGAAGAGAATCCACAGATAACTCTCTTTCCTTGTTCTGTTCCCAGACACGTTGCACCCTCTCGTTGGCTTCCGCATACCTGCCGTTGACACTCCCCACAACGTCCGCCTCTATCCCTATACTTACCTCCTACATTGTTGAGATTAAACTGTAAAAAGGCATATTTTTCCGAGTTATACTGTTAAAATGGCGGTGCCAACCTTCCAGATGATTGTTGGTTCTTATTTCTACGTCGAATACTGACCAATCTTTGGGAGTCCAGACACTGTTGTATAGCCATGTGTTTTGAAAATATTCGGCGGAGATCTTGAGTTTGCATCTTTTCGTTCAGTGATTCAGTGAATATGGACGTAATAAACATAGCTGGTATATAGCACAGCGCCATGGCATGCTTGATCAGGTCTCTTGTTCCAGCGTCCCTAAAACAAAAACATGTTAATACAAAAGAAGTGAAAGATGTACAAAGACATATATAAATATGGTTAACCACTCACTTGTCGTATAGGCGAGCCAAATTATTGTGACGCACATTCTTCATGATGGCCTGAGTGAAGTGATATCCATGCACGGAGATTAGATAAGGTACCAGATCGGTGATAATGAAGCCGCGCGCCGAGATTACTGCTCGGTTATCGCCGAGTTTAAAGCCTCATTATCGCCGGCCTGCCCCCTACAAACGTAAATACTCATTAGCCGAGGTCGTTTTCATCACAGTTTTATACTGAAACGAGGACGACTAACGGTATATTAACTCCACAAAAACTACGCAAGAATTCAAGATGACTACTCCAAAAATGTGACGACACCGTTACCATGAAACAGGAGGGACTCATCTGTGACGTCTGTCGAAATTGGTTTCATCGCAAGTGTTTTAATAATTCAAATGTGGCAATGACAAGGGAACAGTACAGCCTATTAAAAAAACAGGACGTAACGTTTGAGTGGAAGTACCCGGACTGCTACCAGGCCCATGACACCCATCATAACTCCAACCCGATTGTTGTATCCCAGCAGATGGAACCTAGCCGTCGGCTGGTAGACTACTCAGGTGGTGAGTTGGCTTACAACTGATATCAGTCGGCACTAAGTAAATGCTATGCAACTCTTGAGTCTGCGTTTTGCAAAGCAAGGTCTTCTCCACGAGCAGCACGTTAGCAAGGTCTTCTCGATATCGCAGAGCGATTGCTCGGCTGGTGAGTTGCCTGCCTCTCGTTGCTCGGTAGTCGAGTTGTCTTCACCTCGAGCATCGATGACGTCACGTCGTAGAGCGTTTGCTCGACTGGTGAGTTGACGGCCTGTCGGGCGACTGCCGTAGTCGAGTTCAGACTACTGCAATCATAGACTACTGAGCTCACATTCATAAATATTTAAGTGTTACTGTGAAGTATAAAGGTTTTAATATATTTAAAGGTGCTCATTCAAAACTTTTAATACCAATAAAGTTCAAAAAATCAAACGAACACAGTCCTATAAGTCAACAGTCTAACTTCGCTAACGTTACTCCAATTTCGTCTATAGACTGTATTTGTATTCATACAACATGATCAAAAAAGCCACCTATACAAATAAAAATGCTTTCTAGAGCATATTTATTTATTTTCTCAACATTCGAGCACTAAAAATATCAAAAACGCATTTCTATAGACCTAAAACACCACCATAGAAAATGCCAAAAGACGGACAACTCACCAGGCCTCTAGGTAGTCGAGTTGTCTCTGGTGAGTTGTCCGTGTAGTCGAGTTGTCCGTCAGCCCTGGCAACTATGTGTTTGCACAATAAAAGTGTTTGTTTTGTATTGCACTGTTTACCTATTCTTGGCACTATTGTGGCCCGCGAACAATGAACATCACATCAAAAACGTCACGGTCCCGCGGTTTAAATAAAATAATGTATATATCCGTCGGGTTTGCAGCTGGCATGAAACAGGAGTCTCATATTTAGCATTTTGGAAATTTCATAGTCAACTCGCTGACTGGCTGATCTTTGAACCTTAACACAAGAAATCATGATTCATGTTTTATATGCCTGTGACTCAGCACAAAGTGCTACAGTACGATACCGGTACTGCAGTACACACTGTAACGCATTTCAATGGACATAAAGGGGTTAGAATAGGATAGGATTTACATATTTATCCCGGGGAGAGGAGAGCCGATAATTAGAGGTGCGGTGGCGAGCGTATTCCTAACGCTTAGCCCGTTGAGCCACACCGCCGCGCCGTAGTTATGTGCGAGAGGATTGCTGGACTCCTCGCCGCTGTAGGGTGGTTCACGTAACCTCTGGTCGGTTACGGTTTCCTCCACTACCAAGTCCATGCTTCCAAAATCTTATAACTAACTAATTCCTGAATTCTATACCCGACATGGAATAGTAACCGGACGAGAGGCCGTGGTTCGCCATATGCAGATACGGTTAAGCAGTTAAGCGATTTGAGCCGTCTTATACCGGTACGGTACTTAAATAATCTTATGCTTATCGGCTTCCTTCTCGCCCGGGATAAATATTTAAATCCTATCATAACGTGCTAAGGAATACCGGTACGCTTGCCACCACACTTCGGCAGTTCTGGCTTCCTCCACTATCAAGTCTGTGCATACTGGCATATGGAACAAATACCTTAACTGGCTGAGTAGCGTAGGCCTAATCTTCATTCCAGACATGAACTGCAGAACTGAAAACCGGACGAGGGGCTGTGATTCGCCTTATCTATAAGATGACTTAATTCAGTAATTATCCTCTCCCCGGGAAGAATATATATATCCTACATGGGACTTCAGGATAGTGAAATGCCATTAATATATTTTTAATCCTAATTTATTTCATCTTGATTCTAAATATTTCTAATCTTCTTGCCTTTGTTCTCTCTTCCTGTCAGCTTCAAATTGAAATATGTTTATGACAAGGTCTGAATATGATCGGGGTGTTAATACCTTCTCACCTGAAGGAAGAATATTTCAAGTCGAATATGCGATTGAAGCTATCAAATTAGGATCCACAGCTATTGGAATTAGAACAGCAGAAGGTGTTGTGCTTGCCGTTGAAAAAAGAATAACATCACCTCTTATTGAACCTTCCAGCATAGAAAAAATATTTGAAGTTGATGGCCATGTTGGTTAGTATTCTATTTTTACATATTTTTTGTCTAATTCTAAATGATTGTCAGAAATATCATAATCTGTTTCTCGAATGCCTATGTCTGTATGTGCAACGTTCCAACTAGACCAGCTACCAGTGTTTATGCTGGTGGCATTTCTGTGTCAATTTATCAGGTAAAATGAAATAATATGAAGTACATTCCTACATGAAATGAGGTACAATTCTTTTCAGGATGTGCGATGAGTGGTTTAATAGCAGACTCGAAAACGATGATTGACAAAGCGAGAGTGGAAGCCCAAGTATGTATTTTTTGTCTTGGTTCAAATCTTTCGAAAAAGGCATAAAGGCACTTTGAGAGTGAGCATTCAAACTCGCCCAAGTGTGTCTTCGAGTGAACCTATATATATATATAGAAGATGTAATCAAATTTGCACTTTGAAAAGTAAAATTGGACATATCACTGTATTGATGAGGGTGAAATGTGCTGGTGAATATTCGTGGTTCATTATTAAGTATAAACTTTTTTCTACCTGTGCAACAAATGCCACAACAAGGAATTTGCTCAGAATGTTCCACCAGCACTTTCAATAAAATAAGTTGAAGAAAATTGTCATGAGAAAAATGTTTTTATCTGTGCTTTAGAATCATTGGTTTACATACAATGAAAAAATGGCAGTTGAAAGTATCACTAAAGCTGTGTCAAATTTAGCACTACAGTTTGGTGAAGAAGAAGCTGGTACTATGGTATGTGATATATAAATTTCATTTCTGGCATGTTTTCAAGAAATCAATGTGATATTATATCAGCCTTGCAGTTGGACTGTTTATTTTGAACATGTTATTTTTTTCACAGAGTCGGCCATTTGGGGTTGCTTTGTTATTTGCGGGATTAGATGAGAGAGGACCTCAACTTTACCATTTGGATCCATCTGGTACTTACATTTTATGTGACGCCAAAGCAATTGGTTCAGCATCTGAGGGAGCACAAACATCTCTTCAAGAACAATATCACAAGGTAAGGAAGTCATATTTTTTTCATGAACTCTCTCTTTGGAAGATGATCAGGCCCAACTATAGGCATCAAATAAAAAGCTACCATTTCGAAATGATTCTTTATAAGAATGAATGAACAAAAATTGTACAGGGCTCTCTACTTGTAAATGTGGTGATAGCACAATGCACAAGACAACATCTCCAAATGTACATAGTACAAAATAAATACTGGCAATAATGAACACCCAGTCACAAATTTTGCCTTATAATATTCATTTCCTGGCGCTCCAGAATTGTGTGTACCAATATGGAGCTAACCAATTTTGTTCGCATACTATACATCAAGTTGTGTAAAGTGGAAGTTTATGGGCAGGGGGTGTATTCACTTGGCTAACTAACACAGACAGTCCCCGAACTCGTTCGTAATAGAACTAAAATAAGGGAAATCGGAATAAAATTATGTCCTAACCCTAACCTGGTACACATACCACGGGAGTACCAATTTTCTTACACTCACTTTCTTTCACTTACAATACTCCAGTCAATGACCATAAAAGAAGCAACAAAGTGTGTTCTTGGGATATTGAAACAAGTTATGGAAGAAAAACTCACCGAGACGAATGTAGAAGTAGCTACTGTTACTCCTGATTTACAGTTTCAAATGTTATCTAAAACCGAAGTTGAGGAAATAGTCCAGAGCTTATGAAATGTTGTCCTTCATACTGATGTGTTGATGAAGTGTGGCCAAATAAATGCCTTTCATTACAGCAAACATTTAAAGCTAGTGTAAGGAATTGAGTCACAAGGGCGGTTGCACTATTATAAACTTTCGGAAACTTATGTTTTGGACATACATTTACTATTTGAAGTAAAATTGCTCTACTATGTTTTCGCCATTTTCAATAAATAAATTTTCTGTGATAACCACATTCTGAAAAGTTAGTTGTTGATTAGGAATTACTGGTACACTTGCTGGTTTCGTTAGATATGCTCTGTTGCATTGTTTGTTAACTTTTGATACCAGCCGAACAGCTACGCGAATTTTTTTCCATTATATATGATATAAATGAAAATCGAATACATTTCGTCGTAACACAATATTTCAGCTTTTTTTTTCTACTCGGCGATATGCCGGAAGAGTCGATGATCTGCCAAGGTACAGATATGGTCTGTCACAGCGGAAACCCTTGTGCAGGATCAGTCGCCCATAACAAGTCGTCAGTCGACCGATATTGGACAATAATTACAATTTAGCATTTTGAGTGATTCTTGATAAGCTGTCATATCCGAGCTAAATACTGATTAGATCAGGGTGGTCCAAACTGCGACACATTCCGTGCGGCCCGCAGAACAATTTTAGCGTACACTACTAAACCATTGGCAGATATTTGTATTCATTGGCACAACGATTTTGATTTATTTTTAAACTATTCCAACTGGGAATAGTCCTTTTCGTAATCCCGATGTCGGATTGATGTTTGTTTGTTGTCCTGTGCAGACAGGACGAAGCCGATGAGACGAGCTCGCGTCAAGTAACTCCTCATTTTAAAAGACGTTTTGTGCCTTTATTTTAGTCAAAACACTCCGCTATTTTCAAGCGTTGGCCATTTTTTTCAATATAGTCTGTTGGGAATGTCAATGGGCCGTCGTCATTGAAACTTATAAATAATTATTTTTTGGTACTAAGTACTCTTTTACAACAAAGATCAGAAGCACACTCATCGCCATATTTATACTGGGTCTCTTAGAAGTTAGGCCCGGCGTAAAATTTCATCTTACCCCGTTCAATTTTTTTTTCCATATGCGTATAAAATACGCCCAAGGTTATGCCAAGAAATTACAAAATAAATACTTCTAGAGGTAGTCCGTGTAAAGAAGATATAATAATTGCAATTGAAAAAGTGCAAACTAAATTTTAAATTTCTAGTTTTCCTAAAACTGTTCAAACCTTTTGTGAAAATTGCCCTGTTATGACCTTTATGGGGTAAACGGACATACTTTTTAAGGTGCTCCCGAAGTATGCGAACCAAGATGGCGGACATCGGAACGTGACATGGGTAACAGGTTAGGGTTAGGCGATAATTTTTTTCCAACTTCCCTCATTTTAGTCCTATTATCAGTTCGAAGACTAGCCAAGAGCCTCCCGTAGTATTTATACCTAAAATTATGGCCTAACCCTAACCTAGTACACATATTACATTCCGATGTCCGCCATCTTGGTTCGCATACTTCGGGAGCCCCCTTTTTAATATGCAAGAAAAGTGATCTGTTTAAAAAAAAATTAAGAGACATAATCCTGGGTCATCTAGGCGTTGACCGAAGTCTTATGACCGAAATCTTAGACACCATCAAGTTTATTTTGGTCTGTGTCCGTCTTGCCCACAAAGTGTCTAACTTACCCCGATATTTTTTTAGCTGAAAATCGGGCGTAAATTCCGATTCGTTGCTATGGCAACAATGTGCAAATGTGGCAAGATAGCTGGAGGGTGGGTGCATAAATCAAACGTAGAACGAATGCAGCTGCGACATTATTTGAAGAATTATTCAAAATAACTTATTAGTGGGTCCGACTTCATACGTGTTAAACGTGGTTCTTATGAAGTTTCTGCAAGACAAAGTAGAACGTTGACTTCAGCACGATTTCTCTCGACGATGACAACAAAAGAATCAGCCGTGATTTTGCAAAAGAATCTTTTCATTGTATATAATCCCTACCGCCGCTAGTTCGGTATTGTTTCTATATTTTTTTTTTCTGAATTTTTCTGAGGAGCAAAACAAAAAGGTTCAAAAGAATATAAAAACGTTAACGCTTCGCAAGCGTTATCTGTTTGATCAGCTACTTAACGTTGGAACAGAGGCATTAGCGAGGTATTTCACATATAATATATATATATATGCTGCATTTGACGGCGGTTCTACTTCGTATTTTTCAGTCAACAATGACGCAAAATTTCTTGCAATTACTTGACCAATCCCCAGGTGGTGAAGAGTATTTTTGGTAAAAAATGGATGAAAACCGATTACACGAGTAAATTACTTCGATTCATATACGTACAGCAATCGTACAACATGGAACATATATGTCAGCTACCACAAAAGATATCTTGTAGTAGATCATTTTTATCTAAACTTCGTGCCTTGAGCTTAAGCAGACAGGACGAAGCCGATGAGATGAGCTCGCGTCAAGTAACTCCCCATTTGGGGAGACGTTTTGTGCCTTTTATTCAGTAAAAACCCTCCTCCATGTTCAAGCGTTGGCCATGTGACAGCAGTGACGAACCGAGGAATTGACTTAGCGCCGCGCGATCCATTTTTTTATCTGGGTGCGGAGTCCCAACTTTGACGGAATTGGTTGTTTTTTGACGATAGCATCAGGCCTGCTCACGCTACAAGTAATAAAATTAATCAAATATAACAATTCATCATACAATGAGTGTAATAAAAAAGGTGATCGAGGTAAGCTGAGAGGAAACGTATTTCCTTACCCACAACTAGGAATTTGATCAAAAATAATTGTTTTAAATCAATTTATATAAATTATTCGATTTTTTTTTGTATTAAATTGGTTAAACTGAAACAAGAAAAATCGATGTAAAAACTTGCTAGGCGCCTTTAATTTGCAATAAACTATTCGACACGCCACAAATTATGACTTGGCCACACACGCCTTTTCAATGCGTCGGCAAACGTGGTACGCAGAGGAAGACGCAATCGATAAGCCATAACGTGAATCACTCTGTGACGGCCGGGAGTCCAAAAAATCTTTCGAACATTGTCACACCTCTCATTGGATTTGAACCAGGACTGAGTATACTATTAGACAAGGTAGGTCAAAGCTCAGGGGCCTCAAACCTCGAGGACATTGACGATCAATTTTGAACTATTGTTCCTTTTTAAATCTTTTTATTCAAATTGTGAAGCCTTTTTTTTTCAAATTAATGCCAGTTAAAGCTTTATAGATCTCATATTTAATATTCAGGGTAATAATTATTGTTTCAAAAATTCACTGTTTCAAAGATTAAAAATTGAAATATGGCCGAATAAATGAGATTGTAAAAAACTCTATTCCTTAAACCTTAAAAACAAAGAATTCTAATTTAAATTAATTAGGTTTAGCAACGGTTTAGGCGTAATAATCCATTTTTTTCATGGGAGAAATGTCAATACATAGACTCGAAGTACTTATCATGAAGTCATAACGTATTCGTTGTGACGCCATTGTATCAGAGGGGTCTTATAATATATAGACTATAATATAGGTCAGTGGTTCCTAACCTTTTATGGCTTGTGGCCCCCTTTCGACGGCTTTTTGCACTCGTGCCCCCCCCTGTTCGTCATTCCAAAAAACTAGACGTGTTGAATCTTGCGCTTGGGACTGTCTGGCGAGGTTTTCTTATATTAGGCACCGCCTTTGGTATTGCCTGACGAATGTCACTGTCAACATCAAGACGGTTCCTAGATTTTGTTTTCTCCGACAGAAATCCGATCTTGGCCAATGTTGCTTTCTGAAAAGGGTGGTTTTGGAGTTTAGATGGACGTAATGATCAATTGCTCATCACGTACGAGCAATGCAGGCATTGAGCACATTCTCTCTCATCTCGATTTACTTTTGTAAAGCCAACGTAACCGTCGTTTCATTTTCGTATTTTGGGCATTAGGACTTTAAAGGGGCCTAGCCAGGTGGGTCGTTTTGGTGGTCGAAACTTCCCCTTTTGAAATGTGAAAAAAATTCAAGCATCTTTCTGTATCATACATAGCAATTTTTTGTAGCTTAAAACGCTCTTTAGATCCTCAAGACTCGTGAAAGCACACGTTTTCCGGCGTTCGCCCGGACCCGCTAGCTGTTTCGATCTAACGTAGCAAACAGAAATTTCAGAACCCCTTCACCCCTTTGGAAATTTCTGGCTACGCCCCTGGGACTTTACATTATGGGTTTTGCGTCTATGATACAGCACTGAAGGTTGCCTCGCAGTCTAGCAAACCCGCCCGTCTGTAGGTTAGGCGGCCTACCACATAGCTATTATTATTGGTAGATTTTAAATTCCATTATGATCAAACAATTCACGCATAGAATACACCCTGTGATCGAAAATAACTTATTCGGGTAATGAAACTGCGGTGAACACATGAAAAGGTAAGTATGCAATCAAAGTCGCTTTAATATCAATCATTAACCTTGTGTCGTGGCCCCCCTTAAACTGCTTCGTGCACCGGCCCCCGATTGAGAACCACTGGAATAGGGCCTAAGCTTACGGTGTCTCATCGTCGTCTAAGACTCTAAACCCATGGGTTGTCGCCAATCTAACTATTACATGTAAAAACCCAAAAGCGATTAAAACATAGCGAGTTTATTCACTTTAAATATATATGTACTTAAAAGTAGAGTTTACGGTTCAGTCTTTTAAGGAAGATATATAAAGCCTTTATTTATTTTAAAATTGCTTCTCGAGAAATAACGTGGTATTTTCGTTATCTTTTCCAGTGTTTGGTTTGGTAATATCGCTTACAATAACATTCTTTCGTGACATGTATTACTTGAAATCACACCTGACACTGTGGTTTAACGTTGTTGTGGGTAGGGTTTTGTTATTATCAATTCTGAAAAAGAAGAAAAATCAGAGAAATAATGAATAAAAACTACGAACGGTATGTTTGTTTTCCTTTGGCGTTGGCCCACTAGGCTAAGCTAAGCAAGAACTGTGGAGAGGACGGCTGTCGGAGGAAGCGTTGAAAGTTGACAGATGAGACTCAGAGAGAGAACCTAATGCACGGTAATGAGCACACGCACAGGAAATTCAAATCAGAATTTACTCTAACTTTTTATTTTGCTTTCCTATTTTTATTTCATTTTCTTCTGTTTTAACTGTTACAAATATCATCGTCTTCTCACTGAAATTCTCTAGCAACTGAAACTGAGACACATTGCACGTACCCGCGGGGAACAAACGGGCCAGTGCGATGGCAGATAGTTGCTGGGCGTCTGGCAGGGCAGCTACCACGAGCTTCAAATATTATTTTGCTCACACAACCATTCGTTGATTCAGAAAAACGCAAATGTTATTGAACGATTATCAGATTTAAATTTGCCTTTCGCATCTGCATTGAGAATGATCCAACTTTGGTCTTGCAATAGCGAATTATGAGAGGCACAATGAAATAACTTTGCCAACCTAATGAATAAACAAGAAGCAAATGCGGCGATTCCCCAACTCCATAACGCATAGATAACTTCAATAGTGATAATGTATTCATTCACTAAAAACATTCACAAAAAAAAATTTACACCACGCCAACATCTACATTGCCAAGCAAGGCAACAAGGTTCATATAATTTCGACCCCTATTCAGTTCCATTAAGGTTTCATAAGTAAGAAGTATTCATTCGATTCTCTCAAAACTTGATATATTACAAGTTTGGATGGTCCCTGTTCCGGTCAATCCAATTTCTGTCGATAACTGATACAAGCTGTAACGACATACATTAACCTTCGGTACCGTACATGTCCACGAACAACGTCGGTTGCCATTGCGCAGCTACCAGTACGTCACTGCACCTAAACTTTACACAAGGCATGTGCACAAAATAAAGGACCGACATGAGGAATAGACTGATATTGTCATTATTTTACTATGAGATGATGATACCGACGAATACCGCTCTAAAGACAATCCCCAAATATATCTAGAAAAAAGGGTAGACATACCATAATTACAAAATGCTGCTAAAATGCAAGGGTTGTGGTGATGAAAATGTGGCAGATAACTGCTGCACACCACATGGTTCACATGATACAGCTTCCTCCACCATTCATGTACACACATATTATCTTCAATATATATATATATATAAATTTATTTATCCTAACTCAAGATAATTACTTGCCATCTTCACACTACTTTTGGCCGTTGATTTTATGTGTAGACTTTCGTGCTATGTATTCCAATCTCAGCCGCTTTTTAACCAACATAACAGTGAATAATAAATGGATTTTAACATAAATTTATAATCATCAGTGGTCAATACTTAATCTTCATTAAGATCAAACACTTTTAATGTCAAATATATCAATATAGCATCCTATGAGAGCATAATTGTGTTACGCCAAGGTTTCCAAAGCTTGAAATCACTGCATATTGCTGCAACATGAAAGGGAGCATGAGAAAAAAAGATTTTGCACCTGGGTTAGATGGAATATAGTATCGTGAATATCCATGGAAGGCATATTTTGAACTTTTTATTCGAAATTTACATCGCTTAACATTCAGATATTTCTCCTAGTTAATTTAGGTTTTTTAAGCTATAATTTTGACCTTTGGTGTATTGTATTTTTTGCACATGCTGTAAGGGGCAAAAACAATATCTTTCACAAAATTTTATTTGTACTGTCTGTCATCACAAAATGTAAATGATCAAAACACTTGATATGTGACAAAATAAAAAAGAGCAATACCAATAACAACAATTAAAGAATTTTTGAAACACTCAAAACAAAAAGTTATTCATTTTGAGCTAAAATCAAATATCCCAAAGAAGTTTAGCCAGCCCGTTAAATGACAAAATGTTCAGAAATAGAGTCTAAATTTAGGTATTTCACATCAAATTTCAATTTAAACATGAAAAATCAACATCAGTGAATGACTGTATTAATCAACATTAACTAGATATTTTCAATAAAAAGTTACTGAAGTTGAATTAAAATAAACACAATTCCTCAGCTTTTCAAAATGCGTCTTTTTAAATTAACACAGTCATAGCCCACGAGGATATATTCGAAATATTACAGACGAAAAGTGGTCAAATTTAAGAGCGCAAGCAACCATCAACAATTAGTTCAGGTCATATTTGGCTGATTTGATTACATATGACCGAAGAAAAAACATTAATTCCGGTTAACACAGCTTTTACTCGATTATAATGGGTACTTTTCCCGAACTGTTCAATTATGAAAAATAGAAAGAACATTATTTGTACACAAACATTACAAAACAAATGTACTTCACAACGTCTCTTACCATACAATGTTTAACATCAAATTTTTTGTGAGTAAAAACAATGAAACAAAATATCATATCAAAAAAGTGAAAAAAATCACCTTCATGCTAAGTGGCATAAAAGTATGTAAATGCATTTTAATCATTCATCTTGAGGGCTGCCATCTTGTATTTTCAAATTTACAAAATAAATTTTGATTTGTTCAAAGCAAAAATAATAGATTGTCACCAAAAAGATAATGAAACTAATTAGGACCAACCTTAAAATAAATGATTATATTTCTTTCAATAAAGCACAATATTTATTAGAATACTTGAGTTGTAAAACTTTAACTTCCAGTCAATTTCACTGCCTACAATGTATTTTCTCAAACACGAAAGATGGGTTAAGCATGTGACACCGTCACATTTGATGATTCCACTTACAGGAATCAACTGGATATTTGAAAAGATATTTAATCAATCATGGTGAAACTACTTTGTCGTAGTACTGTGCCTATCCAGGTTTGATCTTCAGAAAAACACCTCTCATATAAAGACTTTAGCCAAAGCATCTGCACCAGCACTGCCTATGTATGAAGCAGATGGATGGAATGCAACAGAGTAAATTGATTCGTCAAATTTTTTTCTGTGAGATGTCAGCTCTTGAATACAAGTCTTGCTGTCAAGATTCCATAGACGTATAGAACAATCATGACCTAAAAAACATTAATATCAAATTTAGTCTGTGATTTGTTATACTAGGGATGCCTGGGAAACTAACACAAAAATAAAATTCAACTTTTGTTAGAAGAAAAAAAAGTCTCACATGTTTGCAACTACTAAGTTTAAATTAATAATCCAAACCGAATGTGTGATGAAATAAATGGGCATTATTGTGCAACAGAGGGCTTCAGTGATGGTTAAAGTTGTTAGACCTGACTCAATATATGAAAAAAACCATACAACAGACTGGCGATATTCATCAAGAGTTTGCTGACAATTTTTGTTTCCCATCAGAAAAACTGATCGGACAAAACAAGAGTGAGAGCAGCGTTAGCACATCTGCTGCCCTCAAAATAAAACCATAAAACACTCACTTCCAGAGAGCAAATACAGTCCATTAGGATCCACAGCTAAACTTGTTACTGCATCTAGATGAGCAACCATCGAATGTATTGGTTTACCTTAAAATAGTCAAGTCAAATAGCATTAAATATTAATAATTTTTTTCAATGAAAATAAAAAAACGTTTTTTTATAAAAAAAAGAACATTTCAATCTAGTATATTGTCTAATTACTATATCATTTGATGAAAAAACCAATAGAGCTCCATAGACTGACATGATGTATACCTGAATTATTGTCATAAAATCGTATGTGTCTGTCATTGTGTGCTGAGATAGAAATTGGCATTGTTGGATGACTTGCGACACAATTGACATAAGCTGTAAATATTAAAACAAGTTTTGTATAGCTGCACGTTACATCACAATTTCTAGATAATATGGAGAAAATTCAAAACTGAAATTATAACTAATATAGACACATATCCTTTTAGTATAAAAAAAAATTAAAATCAAAACTTAAAATACTTTTGTTGACAGTACCTGAAACCAAAAATGTGAAGAATCAATTGATCAGATATATTTAGTATTTTTTAACTCAAAGTTCGGAAATCTGAACATGAACAAACCTCAGTGGTATTTTGAACATGGGGCAACATTTATCAAGTTAATATAAAAATTGTGTACTCTTTTCACTCTACTGCAGAAGAGGATTCATGTTCAATCAACCCGTTTTATTAAATTTCCTTAAGAATTTGATAAACACACCACGAAAAATTTTCTCAAAGTATTCTGAAAGTTTGAATCAAAGCTTTTTGTGGAAATATATGGGGATATTAACTTATTTCATCACACTGAACATGGTTCATAATACCCACTCAAAATATTCCCTCCTTAAGTGAGATGACGGAATTGATAAATATTTTCTTTTACTAGTTACAATGAGAGAATGACAATTGTATATACCAGGGCTACTGAACTATTTTTACCAAATTTCCGCATACAAAACTACAAAATTATCTGGGTTCGGTCTTTCCAGAAATTGTATTTTGGCATCCTTAAACGCACGCTTCCTCGACCGGCTATGATTTCTTAGCTAATCAAGATTGTTTATTATTGTGTTATAGTTCTTTTCATAAATATTCAAATCTATAAAAGTCATTTTATAAAAGGAAACTTCAAAAGTGGGGCTAATGATTCATAATGAAGAATCAGGTGCGGTCTGAATCAGATACTCGAAAGGAGCGGATTCGGACCGCGGTCTGCCAGTTGAGTAACCCTGGGATATACTACCGGTAGTTAGAATTGTTAAACTGGAAAGGATTAAAAGTTGGCAAATTTTTGAATACGAGACGTAGAGTAGTCCCATTTTGCGTCTACATAAGAAAATGAACCTATCTGAACAAAGCGATTAATTTATTTAATACCAATTTCAACTTACAATCATCCGACTCTGCCAGAGTAGTTGGTACTTGTCCTGTTTCCAAATCATAAATAAGTATTTTTCCATCAGAATGTGACACGACCGCTTGACTTGGATCACAACAAATAAATTGAGCAGATGTAGGTGTAGAACCACCTGTGAAAATCATAAATATAAATGTGAAGTATAAATTGATATTTAAAAAATATTACTATTAGCATAAGTTTATTTCGACTCCATAATCACTCAGCATAACAGAAGATAAAATAATTGATAAAAACAAATAAATAAAAACTAATTAAAGAATCAGTAGAGCAAACAAGAATTTGGGTAACGTGTGAAGCGAAGAGAATTTAAATTAGAAGATTCTGCCAAGAAGGAGTGGTAAGCATCTACTCACCTAAAATTTTACATTAATTAATTTACACACTCACACATATACGATGATAAAAATATAATAGAATGAGAAAACACGAGAAACTTAAGATAAAGTGACTTAGTAAACAAAAAGAAAACTAGAAAAAGAACATATAAACAGAGAATTTTGCAACGGTTGGCAAATTGAAAATTGAATTTGCAAATTTGCCAGTATGTGCTGCACATTTCAGTTGTATATTTCTGTTTATGCATAACAAGACACTGTTTAAATCTTCTCTGTCATATATCAGCATAGAGTGTAATTTATTACAATTCAATGCACTTGGTACACTACACAGTATAGACTGATTTAAAAAAAACAGGGCTCTATTACTAACTTAACTAAAACAAATGAGAAATACCATACCAGGAGCAGCAAAAGTTCTGATCAATGGGTCAGTGGATTGGGGATTCCACAACCTTACTGTTGTATCAGCAGAAGATGACAATAAATGGCACCTTGTACCACAGTATGACAAACTCCAAACAGCGTCTGTATGTCCAATTAACACTTTTCCCGTCACAGAAGAGACTGCAAAATTTAAATATAAAAGTTAGAATAAATCAATTCACACATACACAGATGATTCACACTATCAATTCAATTTGAAAAGTGCACAATTCCATGCAAATGGACAATTTTCAAGTCTAATCCAAATATAGTTTATCTAGCTGTATGTGATTATAATATTTACGTACAAATTGTTGTGTCATCTAGGTCAGGGCTTCCCAAACTAGGGGCCGCGAAACGAATTTTAGGGGCCACAAAGAGAACATCAAATTCACACAAAGTACTGTATCTGTTGTACTTATAAAATTCAGGTTCAGTCTCATTTTCGGATTTTGCATTCATTTTCTCATTATTGCAAATGATGTGTTTATGAATCAAATTCATTTTACCATTCTATGTTGTTCACTTTCCGTTACGTAGGGTCTATTGTTGCGTAACAGAAGAGCTGCAATTTCGTAGGCTGCACTTTATTCATTTGCTGAACCGAGATTATCGAACATGGGTGATTTTTTAGCATTTTAAGAAAAACCAGGCAGGGATAAGAAATAAAAGTTAACCTTTGCCTTTATTCATCAGGCCTACATGTTTATAAAACTCAAAAGTCATACAATAGTACACAATAACGACGACAAATTTTTTTTTTTTTATGAGGCAGCATATTTTTTGTGTAGGTGCGCCGCGAGTTTCCCTGATAATTTAGCGTCGCACAAACCGCTGCCTTATGCTAAATTTGATCAATAAGATAATATCGGTTGATGATATCGGTTGCCAGACACCGTAATTCATCATTTAGGCCTGAATAAACAAACATTGAGCCATGGCTGAACTTGTTATGCAGCAAAAAGCATTCGCACCCATTAACCTGAGTAAATATGTGCTTGTTTTTGTTATTGAGTAGGCCTACTAAAAGTTGAGAATTAGCTGTGTCAATAAAATATTAAAAATGCATATTTCGAGGGGCCGCGATCTCAAAAGTTTGGGAAGCCCTGATCTAGGTAATATACAGGTATGAAAATATTCAATATTACCGAAGTTAAATCACTTTGACAAAACCAAAAGCAACGATACGCTAATTCATAATTATGTTTTATAACTTCTCGAACGATAACTTTATATAACGTACAGATTTCCTGTTTACACCATGCTTAGCAATGCAATTTGCAATTTTTTTTTTTTCGATTATGAACATGTAAATATCAAACCATAGGAATCATAAGCATCGATGTGTCGGCTTGGAATGGTCCATGTTCTAATACTTGAGTCAACACCTCCACTGTAACACATAGCACCTTCATTGTCTATGGCTAGAGAGAGTACTGCACCACTGAAAGTAAAATGGACAGTTTACAATGGACAATGGATATCTTGTCAATTTGTTTACAGTTTCGTAGAAAAGAAAATCCCACAAAGCAGAACTCTTTAAAAATTTGACACAGACAAAACATTATTTGTTATGCAAAGATATAATAAATATAACACTATCATTTCAAATTATGTATAGTTTCTGATGACAAGCATTGCATATTGAAATTTTAGTTCAATATCTTGTCCAGAAATCATGAAAATTCCGATACAAACAGCCATGACAAAATAAAGAGAAGTTGAAACTTACATATGCCCCCTGAAACTATATATAGGTTCCACATCAAGAGCTTGAGATTTTTTACTTGGCAAGGTTTTACTTAAATTCCATAATTTCAAAGTGTTGTCTTCTGAAGCAGTTATGACTGCAGAGTCAACTGGTAAGAAAGCTATGTCGCGAACTCCATCAAAGTGACTGTAGATAAAAATATTTAATTTGTAATTCTGAGAACTTCATATTTGCATCAGAATCTAATCAAATCCTGACACTAACTATTGAGCCTATCTATATTAATTGAATTTTTCATGGCCAGACTTAGTCAAATATTGTGATTACAATGATGAATATCGAAGCCATGCACATACATAGCAATAAATATATTCAAGGTCTAATAACTTGTTACCACAACACGGTCTTCGAGTGTTTGTTTTTTTTCGCGTAGCCAATCCCAATTTATATTTAAGAGACTCAAACACAGCAGGACACACAACTAATACCCCTTTTCAATGACCTGGAGTGGGATTCATGCCAGTTACGTTCTTTAGAGCGTACAAACTGATTGCTGAGAATAGGCTGACTTATTAGTTAACAGGTAAAACATAAGATTTTGTTAGTTCTAGAAATACTTGGTTCCACTCAATGGAACTACAACGGCTGACGAATGAAGAAACGAATTGACCTTCTCAATGTGAACTTAGGTGTCCATGTTTTTCTGAAAGAATCTTTAGTTGAAGATATCTAAGTAGAAAGGAGTAAAATCAAAATATAGAAAATTTTCCACTCATATTATGCTTTAACAATATTAGAAGTTGGTCAGTCAGTAATATGTTGGGTAATCTAAATTGCATGAAAATTCATTCAGAAGACTTAGTTTCTAATCCTTTGGCCACTTAGCTGCAAGATTCCTAAGTTTTGCTGAGAGACATATTTTAGTCACTATCACCCAATTTAACAAATTAGGGACAAATCTCACATCATATGTTAAAGGATCAGCTTCGTTCGCAACTGTTAATCCAGCAAGTTCGCCAAGTCTTAAAGCATCAGATTCTTCACCCAGCACATTACGTGATCCACCTACTGAAAATGGTAATGATTCTGAAGAGAATACATGAATATTTTTATTATAAGTATTGAAAATGTTGTGTGCATTTTTTTCTATATTTAATGAGTGAAATTACGTTTGTCTCTTGTTCATAATCAGCTCGTGCCACAGATGATCCTAAACGGTCAGATAAAACAAATTGGAAATGTATATGTATCCACATACAAAACGCCAGAGGTACTGTAATACAAATGTCAGGAAAACCTCAATTCTCTATGCGAAATGCAGTATTGAGTCAATAAAACACTAAACATTTTGCATGTTACAAAATCATCTGTTTCCTGCATTTCGAGATTCTAAAAATGAGAATTTCGTTTTCAGTTGGACTTGGATTGCAGTCTCAAAAATCTCTTACATCATTTATAATACTAATTACTAGTGAAGTATACCATTATAGGACCAAGTGGCAACCAATGGCTAATAGTAGAGTCCTCAACAACAATCACCAAAATGTGAAATTTCTTCCCTTAATTTTACATATCAGGTGAATCTGAGTCAACCATATACTTTTGAGGGAGATTCGTTTCTAGTGAGGAACCCATCTAATTTTCCTGTATGTCACGTCTAGGTTATAAATACTGGGATGTTTGTCAGAACGAAAAGCTCAATGACATTACGTAAGGTAAGTCATATGGTCAAACGGCTTGTTCTGACATATACAGGCTTGAAATAAAGGCATTCAAATCCACATTCACATTCATGTTCTAAGGACCAAAGTGTGATTGTTTGGGAACTCATCCAGGAGTGAAATATTCTATTCAGTTAGAAGAACTATATTGAGTTTCAGTATTTTGATCATACAGAAAATATCACCAATACACATGATTTCAAAAATTTGAAAAAAAAGTTGCCTATGAATAGGCTTGCACGTAATTGACAAAAATCAATTCCGTAATTACGGCAAAATCAATTACGTAATGACCCCGTAATTGCGATATTTTTCCATGCATTTAAACCTATCATAACAACCAATTGAATCCACTTCTTTTCCGAATGGGACATTGAAGATGGGTTTTCATATTCTTGGCAGTACTACACGCCGTCGGCAGATGTTAAAGGCAAATATCAAGGAGTGAATTCAAATTAATTTTATTCTGATTTTTTATCTTTTGTGTTAGCTTTGGTTTTCCTTTATCACCTTCGCAAATTAACCGTCCCATTTTTATGCGATCAATTTTATTTTATTATTACCGACACTGGTATACGGATATTTATGGAAACGATAGTTTTTTAAAACCACCTTAGTGCTGAATAAAAATTACGGGTTTCTAATTTATTAACTAACGACGAGCGTATTCTCTCGTTTGATTATACTTGCGATTTCCTCGCGACGAAGACTTGTTTTTGCAGCGTCTTCTGCATTATCCGATATTACTGCCTTGGTAGCATTTTATAATAATAATTATTGATGTCGACTTATTGACGATATTCCGATTACCATGCTTCATTTTACATTCAATCATTTCGCGGACTGAATGTTTATAACATTATTTGCGATAAATTTAAGATCAAATATTATTTATTTGAGTATAATTTAAATATGGAGCTTATATGAAATGCCTTCTCCGAAAACACAAAGTTATATCGCAAAACAATGCATTTTGTGACATTTATTTTACACTCACGACATTTATTTGCTAACTCAAGTCGTCGATCCTATCGGCCAAGATTGACACAAGTTTGGTCAAGTGCCGGTGGTATTCAAGTCGACGATAAATCAAATTAAGTTGCCGCATTTGGTAAGACAGTTAATCATATATGGCCGAAATATTGAGAGGAATTGTGAAAAACATCATGAGCAAGGCCAAGTCCGGACTGATATATAACGATAAAACCGTTAACAGAACATCAAGATTTTGTAATAGAAAATGGATCTCGCACAGAATAAACACACTGGCTCATATTTGATTATATATGACCCGTCGTTTTGCTGTTTCTCTGCCGTCTCAATCGCTTTACCGATGCCGAGAAGACGAAGTTGCGTTGGTTCATTACGCAATCTCTCTTTTGTCGTCATATTGCTATTTGATAAGCGCGACATTAATTATCACGGCGAGGTATTGGCGCGAGTGATCAATCGCTCTTTTCGCTTATTCGGTTCCAATTCGTCGCGAAATCTCTTCGTTAAATTTCACAAGATCGTCGTGCTGAAATGTTATGGATATTTTCCTGTTTATACCCAAAGTCTGAAATAAAACAGCCAAAAACAGTATGATATTCCATGTTCATATATCAAGTGTTCATGTTAACAATAAAGAATGGTTAAGCATTGCTAATCCACACTTGGTGGGGAATTCCCACTATTTAAACGCGTGACTATAAAATAGAAACGGAACATATATATTATATACCATAAGTAACGGAAAACTGGAACAAGTAAATAATAAATAAAAGTAAAATGGATACAAATGTTTGATAGACCATGTTTGAAAGATTGATCTCCTGCGTTCATTAGTCATTTCACCCGAAGAAGTTGAAACCGGGCGTGTTAACGTCCATCAGTCTTAACACAATTCTTCCCCCTATCTACGGTTATTATGTACATTGGCCATGGCCATGCTAGATAAGAAGCGAGAGAAGTTGAAACCAGGTGTGTTGGCTTCAATAGGCCTCAAAGCAATTCTATCCCTTATCTACGGTTAAGTTACGGGAGAAGTTAAAACCAGGTGTGTTGGCGTCAAACGGCCCTACTCAGTTTTTCCCCCCTAACTACGTTAATAATTTACATTGGCCATGCCAGAGAAGTTGATAATAGGTTAGTAAATGGCAACGCGTCAGGCCTTCCTTCACCTACGTAACAAGAGAGAGAAAAACGGCTGCGAATACCGGAACTCTCTTCTACTTGTTGAGCTTTCATTTTTCGCAATCGACGAAATTGACTGCTTTGAAAAAAGCTCGTTTCAATGCAATAATTACGACTTTACGTAATTCGTAACTTCCCTTCCGTAACTCCAAATAATTACGTAATTCCGTAAATCCGTAAATTACGTGCAAGCCTACCTATGAATAATATTATTTCTCAATAAAAGCACAATTTTCAAATTTACATTAGAATTGATATGATATACAAAGAGAAAAAAATATTTTCGATACCTTCCTCATTTTTCATATCAATATCAGAGGATAGACGAGATGGGGGTAATCCATCTGATGATCCTTGCAGTGTTTCCAACATACTTTGAAGATCTTTCTTGACTGGCCCTGATAAAATGAAACAAGTTGTGACCATTTTGTGATACAAAAGCGAAAACAATTATCAGTTCGGGCTCAGTTGGACAGTCAGTTTGAAGGTTGGGCTTCAAAGCTATTCTTGTGCAATCAATATTTAATCCAACTGGAAATTTTTTATTTACATTCGTGGATCATGGATACATAGTAGAGATGTATCGATGTATATTGACATGACCGTCTAGCCCTAGACTGTCTCAAAATATATGATAGCAATTGTAAAATATTATAAAATAGTAAAGTAAAAAAACATCCTCGATGGTTATTTATAGATAGTAGGCCTTCTTATTGTTGGTGCTGATTGATATTCTTTCATGTTGGCTTTGACTTATTGCGTCGACGATTACGATTAGCCACGTAATAAAATATTAGTAAAATGCTTTTAATTTGAACATAGGACGGCAGCGCTAGAATGTGTAGGTGATATTCAATATTCTTTTGAACTTGAATATCGATATTCGAATGTCGCGATATCCACATTAAATTCAAGTTAAACATCCCGGCTTATGAGTTTTCTAATTGAACACCGAGATTACTAGCGTTACTGTACAATGTATCTTAATCAGTTAAAACATATGGATACCAAACATCAATTTCATATTTTGTGATATATCTTTTTTCGATCTGAAATAATGTGTACTATTATTAACAACGCTCATAGACTAAGACTATTGTATTAACCATTCTGCCCTACACAGCACACCTAGTTAGGTAATAATTACATAGTATCGGTATCGGAATATCGGTAATATCGACATTTTTGTAGTATCGGCGTATCGGTATCGGCGACAAAAGTGGTATCGGTACATCTCTAATACATAGCACTCAGCAGGACTAATTAAACTATTTTCACATATACATAAAAGCCAAATCACTGATTACTTACTCTGAGATACAATGTATGATCTTGGTAGAATCACCTTCTTGAGTATACGATTTTGAAATAAATGCTAAAAATATATTCATTTTTTTACGACTTACGATTGAGCCCCTTTTTCTTAGACTGTTTTTTCTCCTCTTTAAATTTTTCTTTTTTGGCATTAAGCTTGTTTCTATCAACTTGCCATACCAACAGCCCAGAGTCCACTGTAAAAAAAATTGTTTGATGTAAAACAGTAGGCGCTCCAGAAGTGTGTACAAATATGGGAAATAAGGGACAGAAAGCCATGGACAGGGGGTATATTCACTTGGCTAACACAGACAGTCCTTGAACTCGTAGTAAAACTAAAATAAGGAATAAAATTATGGCCTAACCATAACCTGGTACATACACAACGAGAGTACCGAAAAGTATACACTACACAGGAAGTGTTTTGATAATAACCAAGTCATTCTGATTGACCAAGTATTGTTCGAAAATGAAAAAATCAAGGTAACTTTAACATTTCCAGTTAGTCGGCATTGATTGGTTCACACTCATTCTATGCGAAATATTTAAAAATCTTAAGTAAATTTTCTGTGATTTAAAATTAGCATGGTATGTACCTAGTTCACATCTAATTAAATAACATACCAGCATCATTTCCTTCGGTGGCAGATAAAAAATCAAACTCAGCAAGTGCAGAATCAGTTTCAGTTATATCACATTCTAGGTCTTCTGGAAATCGGTCTTCATCATCATCGTCATTATCATCATCATCATCATCGACAAGCTAACAATAATATTATAACTCAGCTTCGGAAATTGAATAATAAGTAGGCATGAAAGACACAAAGTATATTCTATCCCAGACACGGGCAAAGTACGGCCCGTTGAGTAATTCAATCCGGCCCACCCGATGCTGCCACAGCCAAACTGAAATCAAATCTTGATGTTTTAGCTAAAAATAGCTCTTGGAATTTGTTGAGATTTTTAGTTAAAAATAGTTATGGCATGAGACGCATTTTTTCCACCTTTGCTTTGTAATACTGTAAATATTGTTCATAAAATGTTACTTTTTTCTATGTCCCACGTTGTCCGCCAACCCAAGTGGGCAAAATTTTTAGCCCCTGATTCAAAAACCGTGCCCACCCCTGTTCTATCCTTTTGCATGAAAACACTCCTATTAACAAGGAAATTGGTCGTCTTTGAAGTGAATTACAATTTCTTTAAAAGTATGCGTACTTGAAACACATATTGACATGCATAATAAATAACATGTCCAATTTGCAGATATAGGATTGCTTTTAAAATTTACTGGTCTATAAACTTGTTAAGAAATAATAAACAGATACATTTTTGATTCTGGATAATTTTTGTCGGTCTCCTGCTCCAGAGTCTATTTGATCAGAATCATTATCATCGTCATCGCCCATCTCATCATGTAGCGATCCAGTCAAAAAATCGAAGTTGGTCATTATGTCTGCTTCAGAAGGGCTGTGTAAATCCAGAAAGAGAGAGAATATTGAAATATTCTTAACAAAAAATGGTTCATGTATAGTCAAGATCAAGAATGACTCTGCTAATTGAATCGATTCAAGATTTAATTTATTCCAAAAATTTCAAATCTTGATTATCGAAATAATTCAGAATACGTTCATTTGAAGAATTATTATTTTGAGCAATCAAAGTCGCACAATATGAGAAAAAAAAATATTTATGCTCCATAATGTTCTATTTATTTCATTATAGGTTCATTTCCGTGGCTCACACGTGTGTGGTACTCAATATCCATATTCTGTGGCCATGGTATTCGTTCGTATAAATTTTTCGATTTCGATTCGTAGAATCATGAAAGCATGGTTTACACTTTACAGAATGATCAATTTTGCATTGTTAAAAATGACTAGAGGTTTCATTCAATTCAAATATCTTCGAGAAAATTGCACGGTCCGAAATATATTCTTTCTAATAACAACTACACATGTAGTTATTAGCATCTAAGTGCACCTCGGCTATCACTATCAGTGATCATGCAACTTCACTCGAGAAAATTTTTAGTTTAAATAAACAAAATAGAAAACAAAACCAGTGTTTGAACAGTGCTTAATAGAATAACACATATAGAAAAAAACCATACTTGACAGAAACATTGTTATCTTTCTCTGAGATTCCATTTACAATTTTGCTTTTGTTTTGAGCACCGGGTGAAGCAACCTCATAACTTTTACCAAGTAATGCTCGTACTCTTTGTGATCTCACGTCTAATATTGTATCACTATAACCAACTTCTTGAAGATACCTAAATGCAGTAAAAAATATTATTAATAGTAAGCCTACTTCTTTCACTTGCACTCTATATAAAATAACATTAAAATAACAGCGATCAAGTACACAATGCATTACTTTATTAACATTCGGAAGGAAAGAGTAAAGTCATAACATATGAACTGACATTGAGTGGACACTTGAACAATTTAGCCCTTGGTCTGAGTGAAAGAAAGTAGGTCAATGTAAAGAACCTGAAGGATCATTGAAGTTCAAAGATACATGTGAGGACTGACAGAAATTGTGTGGAAGTCATCATAATATGATATAATTTTAAGATTATCTCTAGAGCTGGTATTATAGAATAACAGCTGTCATATGACCATTCCATGAATCTTTTGATTAAGTTGAATTTGAAATCGCTTGCTTAATTAAAGTTAACCTCACATTGCATAAATCTGAAGATATTTTTTTTTGAAACTGTTTGTGTCTAAGAATGAGAAAAGACTTGCAGTTCAATACAGTTTTAGCCTAGTACCCTCTGTTAGTATCTGGTTGCCCTGTTTCTGTTGTAATAAAATCATAGCCTATCCATTTTTCACCTACTAGACCAGTGTTTCTCAACCTTTGCGAGCCTGTCTGCGTGGAATATAATAATTTTCACATACAGGTAAGTGAAAACTGGGTAATGAAATGACCACATGGTGAAAAAATTTTTCAATGCACCTTCGTCAAACCCCTGGGACAGCTCCACCGAACCCAGGTTAATAAGCACTGTACTACTAGAACGATACCATTTCCTATAAATGTTTTAGCAGTTAATTAACGGTGTCGTTACCATGCTATTTTTTGCTTTTAATTTTTTCCAATCAGCAGTACAGTGGGTTCATTATTTTACCCCCTTTATGCTATTTATATAAATATAGCTTGTATTCAATGAAAAGCATGCGCACATGCCTGTTGAAATCTATTACCAAAAGAGTACTTCCTGTCATATATAATGAGTGTTGATCTTCTATTGTTTTCATATCAATACCAATTGGGTAAGCAAGACATTTCAATGAAACAAATATATTGATATAACAAACTTACTGTCTTAAAAGTTGTCTTCCTTGTCTCCATGACATCTGCGTATTACCTTGTGAGATTTCTTCACCAAGCTTAAATTCTGAAATACAAATGGTTAAAATCAGTGATGTCTGGTGGAAGTTGAAAGAAAAATTAAAATAGTATTCCACTCAATCACACAAATCATGACAAAAGATCTGAAGAACACAATATAAAATGGCATAATTATAATAATTCCTAACAATGGTAGTACAAAACTCAAAAAAAAAAAGATCAAAAATAAAAAGAACCAAAAAGGTTGATATCTATGATGTTAGCAATTTCTCTTTGATAGAGATCACAGATTCACAAGAATACCAAAATCGTTATTATTTGTGTGAGAGGCCATACTATGACAAATGAATGGAATGTATTAAATTCATATTTGATGTTCATATCCACATATGTACAACAACATCCAACAAATACAAATTTGCAGTCAGGCTATTATTGAAAGACCAATAGGGGTAACTGGAACTTTTGACACACACTTTATCCGTAGATAGATAATTATATTCATCAAAAATATTGTTTGCCCATGTGATTTACAGGAAGAGGCAAAATGACCAATATCAAAATGAACGGAATGGACTGAATATTGCAATATTGTTACAGATTTACTGACCCGGAATGAAACTAATATTAAAGATTGATACGAGGACACTGATATCAGGCCGTTATATAGGCTATAAATATGGTTGGTTTGTGAGAAATTATTGAATTTACCTGTTGATTCATTCAAGCTATCGTCCTCTGGTCCATCACTACCAAACTTGTGTTTATGTAACTTTGCTCTAAATGTATCAGAACATGTTACAAATTGTTTGAAAAAACATATTTTTAAAGAAAGAAAGAAAGATGCATGTATTAAATATTAAGGCTCTTACAGTAAATATGTACAGGCTCGTGAGAATAGCTAATAGAAACTTTCTTACAAAGCAAGAACTTATGAAGAAACATTAAGGACAAAGATGCTATGCTACTCCCTACTTCGTCTACTCTTTACTTTTTTAAATGAGGAATTAGATTAGCAAAGTTGCACATAAAAATTGATCAGTGTTCACGAAATCTTACTATTAATTTAAAACGTTACTAATAATTTGTGCACTTTATTAAAGAGGTAAAAATTGATTTAGTCCATTGAAGTGACAAGTATTATAACAGATCAATTGAATTTATGAAAATAAATTATTTAAAAATTAGTTGAAATATGAGAAAATAAAATCATTGAATGCAATAAAAGAATTTTTTTTCAACCTTTCTTGTTTCAGTGCAAACTCTAGCATTTTGATACGCCTGACCAGATCACGTTTCAGATTTTCTTGGCCCTTTCTTTCTCCTTGCAAAAATGCAATACGAGCCTAAAAACATAACAATTATCAACATTTTACATTCTATAACATTGTTATCAAAAGGTGATTAGTTAGGACCACTATTACCAAGCGGGGATGTGGAGCCATAGTTTGGCATGTTTTTTAACTGGAGTCATATTTTCAAAATGATTCGAGTTCAAATTTATAATTTCATAGAGTAAGAGGAGTGAAAAATGCACTGCATTTCACAGCCATGAATACCGCTAGATATCAGTCCAAATTTAATTAATGTCAGTCAGTATCAATACTACAGTCGCTGTATGTCTGGTATAACAATGTCAATAAATCTTGAGATGTTTCTTGAGTACAGCATAACAAGTATTCATTTATACTTGTAGTTCTGCCTTTTCCACTTCCCACTGTGCTCTGTCCATTTCAAACTTGGACCACTCATGCTGAATGAAGTGAAGTATTCCTGGCATTGTATATCCTGATTTTAATTCAACCTAAAATCAAACAAAACAATCTGTGAAAATGGACAGAACTTTATTTATTCAACAAAATATCACTCATCTAGTTCTAACTTTACTTGTTGTTTAGCAAATTGGGAGGGGGATAAATTGAAATGAATGATGTTTTTGTTATTTTTCCAACTGCATGCAGTGTTTACAGAAAAAAATACAGAACTAATATCCACAGTAAACTACAACATTTTAAATGAATAATATCAGTGGTTGCCAAAACCAAATGATTTACTATTCAAATATACTTTGAAATGGGTCTGTTCCATTTTCTATATTAATGAAGTATTGAAATATACTCACGTGTTGATCATCTTGATTTCCGCTCCCATTTTGGCCATTGATGGGAAGATCGGCATCCATATTCATGGAAGAATAAAACATCAAAATTTTCAAGTTATCAAAGGCATATATAATTAATTTTGTGACACTTTCAAATGTATATTTAATACAATATGCTATTAAATCGTTGCTGTACCATGAGAAAATTGAATATCTTATTTCATTACAGACACCATATTCATATTCATTATTTTGCTACACAGCTATAGGCTACTGCTACTCCAGTACTCACTGACTTGTTGAATAGCCACATACAGACATAAGTAGTCTTTTCTCATTTCAGCCATTGCGACACACTTATATTATTGAAGAAGTTATTACAGTGCAGCAGTATTAAGATATGAAAAATTCAATGCTGGGCAATTACAGCGTTACTTTCATAAATACAAAATAAGCAAATACAAAAAACTTAACATGGACATAATTTAGTCTACTTTTTAAATTGATGCTAAACGCAAATTTTGTAATTCCTTTGCAAAGGGTTTGTTTACTCTGAAATTTTACAGTACCTAGCCTATATGTTATGGTCATTTTTATCTGCTTTTTAAATAGTACGGTAATATTGGGTGTTTTATTTTCAATAATGATAGAATTTTTCATAATTCAAATTTTATATCACACTAGTGATAACAAAAGAATAATTGAATTACAATCCCAGAATCCTGAAATCTCAGAATCTACAATCTGACAGTATTTATATAGCTAAATAAATGACAGAATGATCATTAAAATAAAATACAGGAATCTTAATTTATAACAAAATGTACCTATTCTAATTAATTTTAATATAATAAAGCAAGCAAAATCATCATTTCTCTTTGTCGTAGCCACACCAAATTGCCACAATAACTAGATCAGCAGATACGATACCGGTCACTAAATACAGAAATAACAGCACTGACAATCTATCACAGTACGGTACCGGTATCAGCTGTTTTAATGGAGTACAGGATTAGGCTACAGCTACAGGCTCATGCAGTCAAGTTTGCAAGTTCAAACTGCTGGAGGGTGAAAAATTTGTATGCCGTTACCGTACCGTACCAGTATCGCGAGCAGTCAAGTTTCGAGAATACGGTACAACTCCCCAGACTTCATAAATCAGTCTGCAGAAAGAAACCGAATAGGCTACGAGCGATAATGCTATGTATTCTGAGAAATACCTGTCTGGTTCTATTCTTTTTTTATGTTTCCACAAAGTGAATTATTGATTAAATAAAAAAAATAAAGACATCTATTTAGCCTGCTTCTGTGTTTGGTGATTTTGGGGTCGTCGGCTATTCCGTTCTCTCGCTCGGGCCTCACTCAGTTCTTTTACATCTACATTCAGATATTCTATTCAATGCAATTTATTATCGCCACTGGGAGTCGTAATTTTTTTTAAATAAGAACAAGAGATTTTCAGCAACATAAACCAGTTTCCCCGATCATAGATATCCTTGTTTATAGCCGTAACAATTAAAAATCAGCAATAATTACCAATGACGTAACAATTGCAATTTGTGTAACCTCTCAGACACTTTTTTCGCTCAGACAGACGGTATGTTAGTCGTCGGATAGACTTACAATCATGGGTGTAAAGGTTGCCATATTTTCGTGATTTTGCGTGTTGTTGGCCGGTTTTCACTTGTGCTCCCAAAAATCAGCTGTAAATCAAATAACTTGATTGTCTTTTGAGACGCTTTAGTTTGGTTGCAGTATTTAAAAATTAGTCCCGGAAGAGCTGCGATAGACTGGGATAAAATTAGCTCTCAGTACCTGTAAGCGACATGTGATTGAATACGCTTCTAAAAAATGATGGTTTTTACCAGGAAAACCAGTTTGTAAGCGCCAATTCTCCGGAACGCTCTCAAAATTTTTGCAATGGTAAAGTATAGGGAGAATTTTTCTGGGTTCGAAGGATCGGGGAAATGTCCATTTTTTGGCCGATTTTATGAATGCAAAATTGATAACAGAAAGCCATAGTTTGAATATTTACAAAAATTAACTGACACTATAAAAAATAGAGACAAATATTGTCACTGAAAAAGGGTAAATACTCGAACATAGCAAAAATAAAGAAACTGTACTATGTGGAATCTATTCAATTTTTTTATTGTGTCTGCATTGTTGATTAATATTAATTCTTGAAATATTTATTGTTTCATTTTTTTAAATAATAAAAAGCAAGTAATGGAATTTAATGCATGGATGTCAGCAGTGGTAACTGATATTCATTCTACAGTTATCATATTTATCCAGGGTATAGGGAAGTCGATAAGACGGCCTAATCATATATGATGCCCCATGTTTTGTCATCACGGGAATAGTTAACCAGTTATTTAGTACAAAACTGTGGACTTAATGATGGCCAATACGTTGATTACTTGAGACTTGGCTTTGTTTCAATTGTCATTCATTTCACACGAGAGTTTTGGCCAGCATTTCATACCTAAATATATATAAGACACATTCTGATCGGTGCCACCTGCACTGCAACTAGGTTCCATGAAAATTTAGTTGGACGAAGTTACAGAAAAATCGTTTTGATATTATGCTGTTGTTGTTCTTGTTCTTTATTATATAATTTTATCGTTGTTTGAATATCGTTCATCTTTTTGATAACTGGGCCAATTGCTTTAAAATTGTCATTGGTCAAAGATTGTATTTTCCGCTAGAGGGCTATTTATGTATTTCAAATATTTCTGTGAGGATATTTTATGGGATTCGTTTTTGTGTGTTATGACGTCATCAGAAATTGCAGACTTTGCGGCGGTTCCGCGAACGCATATCAACGGATCTCTTGCTCAGCGAACGTTGGTGGATTAGTGCCTAGCGAAAGTGGGAAGTTTTTAATTGGGTACGAAAGACTGCGGTACCTGATCTGGTAATACAGAAGTGACTCGGATAAGTTAGTATTTCAATTCACGTTGATACTAAATCGCGAAGAATGGATCATTGCCACAGGACCTGGCAAAGCTAGTGTTTCGTTGTAAACGATTAGGTTTGAAATGATTGTACATTTTGCCTCCGTATGCAGTTCATAGTGCGCTGCCTTGTACCCAATTATTGAAGACCTATTATCACCCCTTTTTCTTTGGTCGTAGCCTAAATTAGTAATTTTATATGTTGTCTGGTGTAGCGTTTTCCTTGTCACTTTTGCATCACGTATTCGGCGCTTATATTTGATAGCCGCTTATATTTGTCCATATTGTGGACTGTTTTTTTATCTGATATATATATATTGAAATTGTATTAGCCAACCGGATCGGAAAACGTTTGGTAAATTTTTTGCCCTTCGTTGTTGATATATGTATTGTGACTTGAGTTAATCAATTGTGTTTTATTCATTTGAGAAAACCGCTGATCTTTGCCAAGTATATAAGAAGAAGCTGATTTATGCCTGCGTCTTGTTTGTGAATAAAGGGGCTGAGAGTGGCGCGTTTGATACGTTTTCATTGTTTCCAGTCTATATAGATTGCGGGCTTATCAAAAGACGTGACAGCTAGGACAGTCCCCGTTACCATGATACAGGTAGCCTACCTTTTCGATGAGTTACCGCATATGATTTTCGGGGAATTGATGATAAAATATTTGGTTTTGCTCCCTATAGGGCCTAGGCCGTGTGACGAGCCACTGAAAAACAACCAGAAAATTAGTTTCGTAGCGCACATGGTAACTAATTGAATACTTTAGTTTTATGTGAAAATGAACATACTGAACGCATTACAGCTTATTCCCACTAATGAAAGTTGCACATTTCCTATAAAACATGCTTCAAAAATCATGATGCGAAAATTGGATATAAGGGGATTCACCGAAAATAAATATCCATAGATAGGGTTACCATATTTTTTTGATTTCAAAGCGGGACGCCTCCAAAGACACGACCCCTTAGCTGTGATCCTGTAACTTTACAGTTTCCGATTTTACTACATAGGCCTATATTTAGAGCCATCCCGGCTGTCTTCGATAACCATAATATTGTCATCGAGAGTTCATGTGCATATTCTCTGTCTAAATATCGGGTTCAGTTTTAAAAATAGAAAGAGAGAAAAATCAGAGTGTTTCTGGCAGTCGGAAGCCAAAGGCCATTTGCACCTTCTGTGACGGACAAACTGCTTTTTTCAAGCGTGGCGGTTTCATTGCCTAGGGTAGTGAGCGACTGAGCGTAAAAGGAGTGGAGGTCTTTCGCGGCGAGTCGGTCGACGTCTTAACTTTTGGGACATAAGGACCGTTACGTCGTTCTCCGAGCTTTTCACTTCCGTTGAAAAACTACGGTATTCTAAATCCCCAGGGTATTTTACCCATCCGGCAAGTCCTTTGAATTTTAACTTTCCAGTCCACGGATGGCGGTTCCACGCGCGATAATTTTCTTGACAGTGTCGGCAACATCTTGGACACTCCCTCGGGTTAATTGAAATTTGGTCTTCGTCGTGGCCCTGGCACACGCATCAGTGTGCGGGGCATACCAACTGAAGTCACGATATTCCAGATCAAATCCATGCTAGATTTCTTAAATCTTGTAAAAGTTAGGCGGGTCTATAAAATATATTCAAAAAATACAAAAGTTTACAATGGCTACGTGCAAGCCATCGTTGACGAGTTTGATGTCTCTAAGTTCACAGGCTTCATCAAGGTTGGTGGAATACAATGTAACCCTTTCTTCTCACGGAGCTATATATATACTAAATCCTGCCTAAACTGTTTTCAATCCGGGCATCTGTTCCGAGAATGCGTTTTGCCACCATCCTGACGTCTCTGCAAAAAATCGAGGCATGTACAGAGAGAGTGCTGATTTTCCAGCAATACCATCAGATGAAAAACAACGTAGCGACACAACACCTCGCATCAGCTCTCTCGATGTACCTGTATTAATTATTCGTATGTCCCGTCTGCCAGAGGCCAAATCCAGATGGACTTTATGGAGAAGATGCGCAGTGTGATCCAGACCATGTATTCTCTATTTCTTGTATATTATAATTATTGGCGACTTAAGCTTGACTTGGGCGTCGCTGTTTGTTAACCATCTTCGCGTTCCCCGCGTATTCCCTTCCCCAGTAAAATGTGTATTCAATATTATTCTTCTTAATATTGCATGTTAATTTTTTTTTACTGGATGAGAAAAATAAACTTGACTATGACTATCA